AAAACATTTTCAAATAAGAAGTAAACTTAAAAGAAGAGTAGTAGTAGTTCCTCAGAGTACTGGTGAGAAAGCCATAGAAAATGTCTATGAGATTTTAACTCATAAGATGCTTGGGTCTGAAACTCATTGTAAATATTTTCTTTTACAAAAGAGTATTCTTGGGGCTGGTGCTGTGGCACAGGGGGTTAAAGCCCCAGCCTGCAGTGCCAGTATCCCATATGGGCAACAGTTTGAGTCCCACTTGTTCCACTTCTGATCCAGCTCCCTGCTAATGCTCCTGGGAAAGCAGTGGAAGATAGCCCAAGTCCTTGGGCTCCTGCACTCATGTGGGAGACCCAGAGTGATCTTGGGTACCTGGCTTTGGCCTGCATTACTTCGACCATTGCAGCCATTTGGAGATTGAACCAGCAGATGGAAAATCCTCTCTGTCTCTACCTCTCTCTGTAACTCTGTCTTTCAAATAAATAAAATAAATCTTAAGAAAAAGGTATTCTTGTAGAATACTTTTGCTATAAAAATGATGCTATCGTACAGAAGAAAATCAACAAGAAAAGGTATTCTTGAATCAGAAGGTAAGTTTCAAAACAGTGACAATGATGAAATCCCATTTTTGTTAAAATTATATATTTAGGCCTGCACTCACTTGGTTAATCCTCCGCCTGCTGCACCGGCATCCCATACGGGCGCCAGGTTCTAGTCCTGGCTGCTCCTCTTCCAGTCCAGCTCTCTGCTGTGGCCTGGGAGGGCAGTGGAGGATGGCCCAAGTGCTTGGGCCCCAGCACCTGCATGAGTGTCGGGGACCACGCAGCATGTGACCTCTTAGTTGAGAGACAGGGCTGGACAGGCCAGACCTGATAGTACTGATAACGCAACCTTGTGTGACCTTGTGCCTTAAGGCCTTGTAACCTTTCCCCTACTTGCACTAGCATTGCAGCTACAAGATAAGCCCACCCTCCTTCCCCCTCCCGATACCCTGCCTCGATGATATATAAGTGTGTGGTTGAAAAATAAAGTCGCAGCTTGATCGGCACCTGTCTTGCTGCCATCTTTGTGTCTCCTGTCCCTTTCATTTCTCCTTCTAGGTGCTCGGCCCCAGTTGCTGTCCCGCGGGACGGGACAACTGGCGCCCAACGTGGGGCTCGAGTGCGGCCCTTGGGGTTCGAGTGCCTGTAAGATTGGAGGAACGCCGCCTTCCAGGAGGAAAACTTGGATCCAAGTGATTGTGCGACCGGCTCGGAACTGCCCACC